TGACGTGATCACATCATCTCAAAGCATTGGTCGTTTACCTTTTTAACCAAGCGTGTTGGTTATTAGCATTGCCTTGCTAACAAAACAGAGCCTGAGTTAGGTTACAGTAAACATCTACTTCTTTTAAAAGATGATTTATTAATTCTTACAACTCATAAACCGTAACAGGTGGATTTTGGACCCAAAACCAACACCAGGGACGGGTGGAACAGTTTATAGTGAACTTTAATACACCACTTTAACAAATACAGGGAGCGCAGACTGGTAAAGCAACAGAGAGTCAATACTCAGGTTCAGAGCTCCCGGGGGAATTGAGTCAGTCTACAGCTCCCTGTGTGGAATGCTGAAGCAGCACACAGGCAAGGAGCCGGCGTCCACCGGACACACACTCACAGTAGACAGTTCAATTGTGTGCAATGGGACGAGAGGGGGCAGGCAGAGAGTGATGTCAGAAGAGCTGGGATTTTTTTCCCCCGTTAAAGGGTTTATTTGGGGGAGGTTTTCCTTATCCGCTGTGAGGGTCCAAAGGACAGAAGGATGTTGTATGCTGTAAAGCCCTCTGAGGCAAATTGTGATTTGTGATATTGGGCTTTATCAATAAAATTGATTGATTGATTGATTGATTTCAAAACCAGGCATACTCACAGAGGAAACAGCTTCTCCATACGAAGCCGGCCATGGACAGGGAAGAGCTTGTCAGCAGCGATGACAAGTGGAATCCGCGGCACACACACAAAGGCGGAGTGTGCAGCCACACAGCAAAGCAATCCACAGCACAGAGGATCACTGGTCTATGTATCTCTATATCAACTGTCCCGTCACATCTGATCAAAGATCAAAGGGGATTGGCACCATTTGGCACGTGTAATGGAGCCCCCGGCTGTGCCCCCCGGCTGTGCGGCCAGCTCACCTGGCTCATCCTCGTCCTCCTCCTCCTGCTGCTGCGGCGTGGCACCATTTGGCACGTTTCGCACGTGTAATGGAAACACAACCTGATTTGATTAACACAGCTGCAGACTAATGACTTCACATCCCTCTCAGCCAACCACAAACAGCCACAGCATCAGATAGGGAGTGTATAGGGCTGGGCGATATGGCCTAAAAAAAAATCTCAGATTTTTTCACAAAAAATCCGATTCACGATTTAAATCGATTTTTTCCCCTCCTAGTTAAAAAAAATATATATTTGCGGCCTGGTAGCACATACCTAGGGTCCAAAACTTTCAGCATGTGAATAGACCCCAGCTTTTCCACGGTAGCCTATATATGGGCACCATATCTCTTGCAATATACATGGCGACTGCATCTGTGATCGCTTTCCACCGGACCCCTTTCTTATCATACGGCTGTGTTTTCCCTACCATTATATTGAATCACAACAGAAGTCATTTAAGGTTACCTTTTTCTATAGAACAGGTCTATACCTTGTCCTTTTATTAAACAAACTAAATAGCCTTATGTTACAGGCTGAGCCTGTGTGTGGCTTGTGTGTGTGGAGCTGTGTATGTGTGTAGTTGATGTTGGAGGTATGAGACAGGTGTGGTGTGTGACGTCAGACGGATGCGCCCCAGGAAGAAAGTGAGGCATGTGTGCTGTTGTTTACATCGAGCAGCCACAGTGAAGAAGCCTACGCAGTTCTGCATGCTGTTTTTGAGTTATTTCCCTCTATGTAAAAGTCAGACACTGATGAGAGAGGCTGTGCATCATCCCTGCAGTGCTGAAAATAAAGTGCCGTTCTTTAACGCAGACGAAGTCCCGTTGTTTATGTGTTGTTGCCACAACGAGCTAACGCAAGCTAAAGGAGCTAATGGTCTTCGGAGGTCCCTTTACTATGGTTCGGGGGTCTGCCAGCTTGGCGTTGGTAACACTTATTTATCCTATTTACACAACGGCATGTCATTTATGTCCCTTCACGGTGCGCGTCTAAAATCATCCTCTGCTCTCTGTGTTGCGCATGGCGGAGTTTGGCCCTGATGCACACACACACACACACAGGTGAGCAGAGTTCACAATGAGTTCTTCTGCGCTTGCTGCCATGTTGTTTGTGTATCAAGCGTGCGGGGGGGGATGGGTGAGCCCACTCTGAACTACGTGGAGCGGCGTTGGCGGATTTTAAATAGAAACTCGATTTTCATTAAAACAAATCGGCCTAAACTACAAATTCGAATTAATCGATAAAATCGATTTATCGCCCAATCCTAGGAGTATACAGTACAGGCCAAAAGTTTGGACACACCTTCTCATTCAATGCGTTTTCTTTATTTTCATGACTATTTACATTGTAGATTCTCACTGAAGGCATCAAAACTATGAATGAACACATGTGGAGTTATGTACTTAACAAAAAAAGGTGAAATAACTGAAAACATGTTTTATATTCTAGTTTCTTCAAAATAGCCACCCTTTGCTCTGATTACTGCTTTGCACACTCTTGGCATTCTCTCCATGAGCTTCAAGAGGTAGTCACCTGAAATGGTTTCCACTTCACAGGTGTGCCTTATCAGGGTTAATTAGTGGAATTTCTTGCTTTATCAATGGGGTTGGGACCATCAGTTGTGTTGTGCAGAAGTCAGGTTAATACACAGCCGACAGCCCTATTGGACAACTGTTAAAATTCATATTATGGCAAGAACCAATCAGCTAACTAAAGAAAATCGAGTGGCCATCATTACTTTAAGAAATGAAGGTCAGTCAGTCCGGAAAATTGCAAAAACTTTAAATGTGTCCCCAAGTGGAGTCGCAAAAACCATCAAGCGCTACAACGAAACTGGCACACATGAGGACTGACCCAGGAAAGGAAGACCAAGAGTCACCTCTGCTTCTGAGGATAAGTTCATCCGAGTCACCAGCCTCAGAAATCGCAAGTTAACAGCAGCTCAGATCAGAGACCAGATGAATGCCACACAGAGTTCTAGCAGCAGACCCATCTCTAGAACAACTGTTAAGAGGAGACTGCGCCAATCAGGCCTTCATGGTCAAATAGCTGCTAGGAAACCACTGCTAAGGAGAGGCAACAAGCAGAAGAGATTTGTTTGTGCCAAGAAACACAAGGAATGGACATTAGACCAGTGGAAATCTGTGCTTTGGTCTGATGAGTCCAAATTTGAGATCTTTGGTTCCAACCGCCGTGTCTTTGTGAGACGCAGAAAAGGTGAACGGATGGATTCCACATGCCTGGTTCCCACTGTGAAGCATGGAGGAGGAGGCGTGATGGTGTGGGGGTGTTTTGCTGGTGACACTGTTGGGGATTTATTCAAAATTGAAGGCACACTGAACCAGCATGGCTACCACAGCATCCTGCAGCGACATGCCATCCCATCCGGTTTGCGTTTAGTTGGACGATCATTTATTTTTCAACAGGACAATGACCCCAAACACACCTCCAGGCTGTGTAAGGGCTATTTGACCAAGAAGGAGAGTGATGGAGTGCTGCGGCAGATGACCTGGCCTCCACAGTCACCGGACCTGAACCCAATCGAGATGGTTTGGGGTGAGCTGGACCGCAGAGTGAAGGCAAAGGGGCCAACAAGTGCTAAACACCTCTGGGAACTCCTTCAAGACTGTTGGAAAACCATTTCAGGTGACTACCTCTTGAAGCTCATGGAGAGAATGCCAAGAGTGTGCAAAGCAGTAATCAGGGCAAAGGGTGGCTATTTTGAAGAAACTAGAATATAAAACATGTTTTCAGTTATTTCACCTTTTTTTTGTTAAGTACATAACTCCACATGTGTTCATTCATAGTTTTGATGCCTTCAGTGAGAATCTACAATGTAAATAGCCATGAAAATAAAGAAAACGCATTGAATGAGAAGGTGTGTCCAAACTTTTGGCCTGTACTGTATATTCAGCATCTGTCATCTTAGAAAAGTCAAAAGAAACAGAGTGAGACTGCAAGAGAGAAAGAGAGAGGGTTCAAAGATGGAGTACATTATTGTGAGGAGGAGGAGGACACCGCTGCTCTCTTCTGCCATAGTATTTGAGTAAACTTTCATTACGCCTTCGCACGGCGCATTTAAGGGCGAGGAGAGGGGCTCATTTGATTGGTGTGATGTGAATCGGCTGTTTAAATCCCACTCCACGCCTTCTCTCCTCCCTCTTTCCGACTTGCACAGGTAGGAGGGACAGAGGTGGGAAAGAGGAGTAGCTGCGCCAGCACGCACGGTGTGCCAAATTTGCAAAACACCTAGTTGGTGAAGCGCAGTTGCGCTCCGCCTCCCCCTCGCCCGGTCTGCGAAACGAGAGGCCATGTAGTTAACGTCAATATGTCATTTGGTCCGGTCGCCTTAATGCAGTGTGAAACCAAACCAAACTTTCAGGTGTGAAAGTGTCTTCAGTCATACTTCATGGAAGAAACCCTCATAGTACAAGGACACATTTTGACCATGACATTTGGATATTTTCATTGTATTCATTCTATCATGCTGCAGTGTGCTGGGGAGGCAGCTTGATGGACATAAACACCAAACGATTGGACAAGCTGGTTAAAAAAGCTTGCTCAGTGCTCAGCAGAAGACTGGACCCACTAAGAACTGTGGTGGAAAGGGGCACAATGAACAAACTGAAAGTTATGATGGACAATAGCAGACACCCTCTCCATAGCCTCCTGGAGTGACAGAGGAGCAGCTGCAGCAGTCGGCTCATCTCACTGCGTTGCAGAACAGAGTGTTTCAGGAGATCCTTCATCCCCACGGCAATAAGACTGTTCAATGCCTCCTGAATCCAGTCACACACATACTCACACACATCACATTAGCTAAACTGGACAGTGGAATGTTTTGCAATTTTAATTTCATTTTAATTTCATTTTTATTTCTATTTATGCACCTTTTTTTAAACTTATCTTATTTTATGTCTAATTTAATACCACTGTATTATTGTTGATGTGGATGTTGTGTTTTTATAAGCTGCTGGACAGCTGAATTTCCCTTCGGGGATGAATAAAGTTCTTTCTATTCTATTCTACTCTGTTCTAATGTTGACTCTCCTGAGTAACAACTCACCTGCAGTGTGTGTGTGCTGTCTGAGTCTTTCCTGGTCTGTTGGCACTCTTCCTCAGCTGCTGTAGAGGAAAGAAAGGATTAGTTCATCATTACAGGACATCGGCAATTTAGTGTTCATTTCATTTCAGGATCGATTTTAAGGTTATTTTATTAGTTTTTAAATGTCTTAACGGTCTTGGGCCTTCTTATTTATCTGACCTGTTTTTACCATATCAACCCTCGCGGACCCTGAGGTCCTCCAGCACCGGCCTTTTAACCATACCACAAGTTAGGACTAAAACACACGGGGAGGCGGCATTTAATTATTATGGCCCCCGATTGTGGAACAGCCTGCCGGAGAACATCAGAGCTGCAGAGACTGTTGATGTTTTTAAAAAGAGGCTCAAGACTCATCTTTTTAATCAGGCTTTTAACTGATTTCTTTATTTATCTTTTTTAAATTCCTCTTATAACCGATTTATCCATCTATTATCTATTTTTTATTTAATTTTTATATTCTTACCCTTCCTCTTTTTATGTTCTTATCTCATTTAACCTTTATCTTTTGTTATTTTAGTTAGCCTATAGGTTTTAGTTTTGATGCATTTTATGTCTCTGTTTTAGATCATTCTTACCTAGCTACTAACTCAATTTTATGAGCTAAATAGCTTTTTGTTTATTTGGTTCTTTTTATACCTTTTATCCTTACTGTTTTAGTCCCTCAGCTTTTAGCTCCAGTGTTTCCTCATGGGGGCCTACCACACTGAGAGTTGTTCCTGGTCTCCCGATGGGGGTGCCGTCGGGAGACCGCTCTGACCTGGGTGGCTGTAGGGCACTGCACCTCAGTGTGGGGCCTCATGTCTGCCCGGGTCTGGGTGTCTCTATGGCGGTGCTCCCTGTGGCCGTGGACCATGGGCCCTCTCGGTGTGGACGGCCCCCAGAGGTGGCTTTTTCCTTGCCTCAGGTCTCGGTGCTAGGCCATGTCTCTTTAGTGATAGCTTGTGTGTGTGTGTGTGTGTGTGTGTGTGTGTGTGTGCGTGTATGTATATATTTATGTATCTCTATGTGGGGTGGGAGGGTTGGGTTTTCTCTTTTCTTTTTGTTTTCTGTTTTGGATCTTTGTTGTTTTTAACCTCTGAGAGGCACTTTGTGTTACTGTTGTATGAAAAGTGTCATATAAATAAAGTTGATTTGATTTGATTTGATTCATTTATGTAAAGTATGGCAAGCCAGAGCTATACACTAACACAGTATAGTGGCTAAAGTACATGGCAACAATGGGGCTGTGGCAAAAGAAAATGGGCCAATAACACTTACTGTGTGTAGTCTTGTTGAGACAGAATAAAAAAGCTGAAAGAACACTACAAATCTCAACTCAGGGCTCACCAGGGGCCTCATTTATAAACATGGCGTACGCACAGAATGCAGCGTGTGTGTAAAGACGCACAATGGCTTATTTGGCACTGTTACAGGATGTAGTGGATGGGAGACTCCAGAGGAAGAGGATATTCAGGGACCAGCAAGACCTACTGGCCAACGATGATGAGTGGCTTATAGGATCTCCGCGCTGCATCGGGCCAGGCGTTACAAAGAAGCACCCGCTGTAACAAAGCTGTGCCGGTGCTGTGCTGTACAATGTGGCACACCTGAAAAACATGCCATTACCGCTTGATGCCCCGGCCCGACCTCTATCCCCAGGCATTTGAGCCAAATGCTGCTGCGCGCCAGCGTCTGGATGTGATGCATCGTTTATGAAAATAAGACATATTTTAAGAAATCATTTGAGTCAAGAAAATCAGATTGTTTGTCAAACGGCTACGGCAACTGTATCCCACATTTAGAGAGTTTATTTCAGACAGTCACTGAAACTATCTGATGTCTCAATAAATCGCCGCAAACAGCCTTAACACCTTAATATCAGACCACTTCTTCTTCACTTCTGACACAGTCTGAGGCGGCAGCATTTACAGCATCTGCCAACAGCTGCCACTCCGCTGAAATTTTAGCCTTAGTAATGTCCATATTGAGTCCACCAAACAACACTGTCTTTCTGTTATCAACCACACCAACAAGGACTTCAGCTTCACATTGTGTGAAGTTTCATTCTTTACCTTTTAATGCTATATTTGCTGTGCTCTCCTTCATGATGTTTCTTGTTAATGAATATTAATTCAGGGCATTTCACTGGCCATTTATAGGCACCTATGGGTGGGGCAGGACGGTCGCTCACCTGCGCCACATTTCAAGTTGATTGTGATTGGGAGTGGGACATGCATGCGCACTGTGTTGAAAATTATTTTTATATTATATTTTTGTGCGTAAGCACTTTCTGTGTTTTGTTCGTACGTCACCTTTAGGGTCACTGAAGATGGTTTGGATAAGTTCTGAGTTATGTTAGTCCAGGTAAAGCAAAAGCAGTAAATTCTTTTAAAAAACATTATATATTTTAGAAAAGACCTACTTACCGAAAACGTGAAAAGACTGTGAACTGTTCAGTATTAAATTGTGGAGTTAGAAACTGAGACCAGGATTTTTTGGGTGGGCCTGAAATCATGGATTGATGACGCACTGGAGCCATCCTCAATATAACCCCTCCCCTACTCTATAAAAACTAACGTAAGGGCATAAAGTATCAGTGTTGTTTGTGGGTAGCAAGTATGCTATGTTTTACCAGCTCTCTGAGCTCTTTCAGTATAATAAAAACATGAATAGACATCTCTGTTAAATGGCACAATCATATAAACACAAAGAACATTGCCATCACTAATGTACCCTCCAGTCTTTCAGCCCAGATTGGCTACCTAGCCCGGTAGTTACTGCTCACTGCTGTTGGTGTGTGCTTTGTGCTCAAGTTAGCTGCTGTTAGGGTCTGTTGTTGTGGAGCGGTATTCATTCTTCGGCATGGTGTGTGTGTGTCATGTGCTACTATAGTGGGATAGCTGCTCAAAATAGCAAAATAATAGAATAAATAGATAAATAAAATAAATAAAAATGTTGGGATTCACAGGACCACAGATGATTTATCATTTGGTAAAATCATCACTGGACATGAAAAGGCTTTTTCCTCTGCATGCTCTTTGTCTTCAAACAAAGAGAGCCAGGTGACACCCATCTCCACAGGAGGTCTCACCTCACACCTCAGTGAGACACAAGTCTCACAACTTGATTGGACAGTACTGTTACAGTGACATGCCCCTCTGTGATGTCACCAAACTCTAAGCTAAGTCCTGCTACTTTCAAGTTCTCTCTCTTGCTCTGGAGCTATAACAGCTCATAGCTCTTGCTCTACAGCTGCGGAGCAGCTCACACCTCTTTCCAGCTGGGCCTGGAACAGCACAGAGGCCCAGACCCTTGCTCCATAGCCCAAAACACTAAATGGACGGCAATTGATCATAGACTCTCTTGCAAACACAAGGTTTGCAACTGGTTTTCCAGCAACAAGGAACTAAGTGAGTTAGCACCCATCGTCTAACTCTGCTAAACCCTGAGCGACCAGTTTCCTCTGAGTTTCACTTTTGGAACAAAGGACACAACAAAGACTGCACCTGGAACCATCTTCCCAGCCTTCTTCTGCCGGCTAACAAAGCAGTACACCACCAAGTTACTCTTTCTCCCATCCATTCAAGGATCTGTAACGTAACAACTGGGCATAGCTTATCACAGCTTTACAGGCTAAGCAAGACTGTTTAACTTGTTGTATGTGATTTGAGTTATTGTTGTGATAGTTTGTAGTTGGGTAATTCATTAGTTGGCTTCACCAAAGCTAAGTGTTTAGTTTGCTAATACCGTTCACAAACAGATTCTTGCACACAACTAAACAATCTCTTCACTTATCCAGACCTTTTGCAACACATTTCACATTTACATAGACTCATTAACAATTAGGCTTTCAACAGAGCTACACCCAAACAGGCATCTCAAAGTTCCCGCTTCTTTTCCTTTGTCTTTCTCCTGACCACACGGTCAGACAAACACCTTCCCCAACCTGAAGCCAGCTTTGATTCGGCCATCTTGTAGTTCCCTGTTGTCAGCCATTTTGTTTTGTAGGCCGAACGGCTCTTTGATCACCACACCCGCCTTTGTCTTTCTCTTTTCTCTCTCGCGCACACACACACACACACACACACACACATACACACACATATACACAACCAAGCTTGTATATAGTTAGTTAGAATTTGTGTGTTTTGGTTTGCTTTGCTAGTTTGTGAATAAATATAATTCTTTGGAATCATACCTACTGTCTATTTAATGTTGCACAAGAGTGAATGAATAGTCAACCTCTGCTGCGTCAAGAACTCCGAAATCCTTCAGGCGTTACTGTTAATTGTGGTTGTTGTCATTAATTTAATTATTAATCAAACTCCAAATTAATAGTTTAGCCTATTTTATAAGACTGATATCTTTAACTGGCTATCATTTTTCCCTTTACTGGAATGGCGCCCCACGAGGTGATTTAAGGTTAATTAAGTCACATTATTTAACATGATTATTAATTATTAATAATAATTATTAATTAATACCAGAGTTGGGTATAACGCGTTACAAAGTACAAAGTAACATGTGAGAGTACTTTGATTACTTTTTGCAGTAATGAGTAACCTAATGCGTTAGTTTGCTGTTTGAGTAATCAAATACTTAAGTACATTTTCAAACAAGACATCAGTTACTTCCATTACTTTTAGAATGCTGGTCCTTCAGCTCCGAAACAGCAACAGCTGTCGTTTGGTCCTAATAACGGAGATAACGTTAAACCTATCAGTCTGAAAGAAGCCACGGAGCTTGTGGCTCGCTACGTTGTCGTAGAAATGCTGCCGTTGTCTATGGTGGAGTCTAAATAGGTGGAGTAGGGCTCGCTGACAGACATATTTCAGAATCAGGACTTGCATTATGCCTGGTACACGCTACATGCTGGTACTCACCAATTATCCCCGGTCGTCTTTCATGATGTGATGTCATCGGGTTATTCTTGTCCTATTTTTATCACTTTTACTATTATTTGTGTCTGTTCATGTGCCAGCCGACATGTTGCTGTAGTCACCTAAAAGCGTCAGCAGATGGCAGAAGCTACATTTGAAGC